AATTCTTAGAATTTCAGAAATTCTAAAATTCTAAAATTCAATTAATCCCTAAAACTCTAAAAGTTCAAAAAATTCAAAAATTTCAAGTTTGAAATTTTAGGGATCCTTAAATTTTCAACGCTTTTCAGAATTTCAAAAAACTAGGGATATCCAAAAAAAATTGATTTTTCTGAAAATTCAGGATTTCAAGAAATCCGAAATGCTCAAAAAATCAATATTCACCTTGGCTGGCGTGCCTTTGGTGCGCCATGCAAATTATATTAGACTACATATGACTACACAAATATGTTTCTCTGATTTCTTCAACTTTTCCGTTTCCTCTCAAAGATCAACAACCTTTTCATTTGCGGCCGTCCTTCCCACTGCTTTCTCTGCGTCTCTCACTTTTCCCACTTCCTCGTTTCTCTGCGTATCTCACTCTCTCTCTTTCTGTGCTTCGTGGCGGCGTTTCGTCCGCCATGTCCCTTGCCTCCCGAAACGAAACGAATCACCTTTTTCTTCTTTTTCTCGGTTTTCTCTGCGCTCTCTTCTCTCTAACCATTGACTCTCGTCGTCTGGCATGTGTATAGAGGGTCCATGGGACCGAATTGACACATTTCTACGTACTTTTGCTTCTTTTTTTTGGATTTTTTGGGGGAAAATGGTTTTTTGATTTTTGGAAAATTAACGATTGCTCAGCGAAACTTCCAGAATTTTCTAACTAAAATTGTGAATTTTGCTGCCGATTTTTGATCATTTTTAGCTTGATGAAGAATGATTTTTTGATCATTTTGAGGCAATTGCTCAGCCTTTTAAGCAAAATTTCAGAATTTTTTGAAAAATTGAAAAATAATGATTTTTTGATTGCTCAGCTTTTTTGGCAACTTTGAGGAGATTTTTTGGGAAATGCTTAAACATTTCAATTTTTGCTCCTTTTCCAGGCTCAAAAATGCGTTTTTCTTCTTAATTAGGGTAATTAAAAATCTGGAAAAATAAAACAATTTTTTTTTCTTCCGTATATGTAGTTTTATATAAGGTCCATGTGATTTCCGGGGCACTTAATTATCGCACTTAATTATACTCAATTAGAGATTTGGATAAAAAAGAGGAATTTCAGATTTTGCGGGATTTTGAATTTTTGAATTTTTGAATTTTGGAATTTCAGATTTTCCGGATTCCCGGATTTCAGAATTTCAGAATTTTTGAGTTTTCGAATTTTTGAATTTTTGAATTTTTGAGTTTTCGAATTTTTGAATTTTCGATTTTAAAATGCTTTTTGGTTCCAAACATCCGAATTCTTTATTTTTAAATGATCTGTTCCAAACGGGCTTGTTCATACTAGATATGTTTATAATTTTCTTCGCGATCTTTTTCAATTTTCCCGATTTTCGGGAAAAATCTCCCCCCGATTTTTCCCAAATTTTTATTCGATTTTCAATGTTTCTGTGGATTTTTGATTTCAATTTTTATTTTGGAAACAGTTTTCTCAAATTTCATATTATTTTAATCCAAAAATTGGACAAAATATTGCCAAATTTTGCAAATTTTTCAATTTTCGTGATGGGACCCAAAAATCTAAAAATTTCAAACCTTGCTTTGTTTATACTCACTTTGAAGCTCATTACAAGACAAATCTAATTTTATAATTTTCATGAAATTTGAAGTAAAATTAGCCGAGATACGGTAGTTTCAATATTTTCGTGGTGGGACCCAAAAATTGAAAACTTTCAAACCTAGTCTTGTTTATACTCATTTTGAAGCTCATAACAAGATTAATCTAACTATATAATTTTCATAAAATTTGAAGCAAAACTAGCCGAGATACGGTCGTTTCAAAATATTCGTGATGGGACCCAAAAATCAAAAAAAATCAACGATGGTCATGATTATACTTATTTTGAAGCTCTTAAAATTTCCATTTCAACGCAACACATTTCATGAAGTTTGGTCTAAAATTAGCCGAGATACGGTACTTTCAATTTTTTAATTTTTCAAATTTTTGGGAAAATTTTTTTCCAATTTCTCCCAAATTTTTCTCCAAATTCTCTATTTCATAAGTATTGTCTATTTGGCATTCTGCCAACTAGACAAAAATCCAGTCCATTGAGTCAAAAAGTCAACTTTTCCTCGGCTTTTTCTCGCCCAAAAACGAGGCTTTTGTTTGTTCACGATCTCCATATAATTTTATGCTCTTTCTCTGCGTCTCTCACTTTCCGATACTCTCTCGCTCCCTTTCCTCTATTTCCCTATTAAGAGGTGTCCAGTGACTAGTGCCTTTTTGAGGGCAAACAATCACCGATTCGCCGATCTTTTCATTTTTCTCTTTTTCTCTGCGTCTCTCTCTCTCTCTCTCTCTCTTTATCAGTGGGTTCCTGTTTTTCCTGAAGAGACGCAGAGAAATGGAAAAATGACGTGGCATTTTTTTTCCGGGCTGATTTTTGTACGATATAAGCTTCTATATAAGATGGTCGCATATAGTTTTTGACTCACTAGAAAAAATTTGTTATATTTTTAGAATTTTTATTTAAAAACAAACCAAAAATTTGAGTTCTAGAGAAAAAATCGACCTACAATGACCCAAAAATACCGGAAAAACTCTGATAGAACGCCACCCAAGCCGTCATCAACTTTGATTTTATATATCTCCATTCCTGTTAAAGATATCAAGAAGCGGTTAACTGATAAAACATGTATCAACTTATAATAAACATTTTACTAGTTGATTGTTTTTTGATATCACTTACAGTAACCGAGATACATTGATTTGAAGGAAAGGTATTGAAAAAGTCATTCTAGTTTCTCTGCGTCCTCCGGGCCTGACTAGGCATCAACTTTGAGCTCAACTATCTTAATTTCTATGACAGATATCAAAAAGTGGTCAACTGATAAAATGTTGCTGACATCATGATAAACATTTTATCAGTGGACCACTTTTTGATACTTCTCATAGGAAATGAGATACATGGGCTCGAAGTTGACAGCTCTTTTTTTTCGCAAAACCTTGAAAGTCCAAAAAAACATTTTTCCCCCTGAAATTTGATCTTTTTTTCCTTTTTCTTCTTCTCATTTTTCCCAAAATTTTCCACAAATTTTCCAAAAAAAATCCCTCAGATTTTCTGACCAAAAATTATTGTGCTCAATGAGCACAGCACAGAAAAAAATAGTCTAGAATTGTTATTTTTTTTTGTTCTCAAGAGGAGGGTCTTCTTGTAAATAATACCCAAAAAAAAAGTGATCGAACAAGAACATTTTTGCTATTTTTTGTTATGCTTTTTTTGGGGAGAAAAGGGGCGGAGCCTAAATATAGCGGAAATTTTAAGATTCTCCCATAATTGTTCGAATATTGAACAAAAATTCTAAAATTCTAAAATTCTTGAATTCAAAAATTCAATTTCAAAGAAAAATATTTCTGGACTTTTTGGACCTTAAGCTGAGCAATGAAACAGAGAATTGTTTTCTAAAGATTGGATTAAAAATAAGAATTTGATTTTTTTTTAGTTCTTTTTTGAACTAAAAAGTTCTTATTTTTGCTAGAAAAATGAGACATTTTGATTTTTCAATTTTCCAAAATATTTCCATTTTTGACGAAATTTAGAATTTTTAAAGGAGGCCAGACATGAAAATTTTCAAAATTCTAGTTTTTTGATATATGACACAGTACAATCGGAAAATAACAATGGACACCGAACCATAACTCCCTGTTACTGTACAACCGAGAACGCGACCGTTCTTCTAAGCGGCGCCGACTCCTCGTTTCATAATCGTTTTAGTGGCAGTAGACGACAAGCCCCCTGTGGTGTAGAGAGGAACGCGCTTGTCTATCAGTCGCGCGTCGCGGGTTCGATTCCCATCTGTGCGTTTTTGTTTTTTTTTCTGTTTTCATGCGGTGACATCCTAGAATGACCGAACAACTAGAAAAAGTCGGGAGTAATTGCCAAACAGTGAAGAAATCTAGTGTATATTGAAAAAAAAAATGCTCGTCAAGTAGCGCGCATTGGTCGCAATCGCACGATTTTCCGTCAGAATACATACTCTCGCTCCAACAAAACTCCGTAGACTTTCGTGTCTGGCCTCCTTTAATACAAAATTTAGAATACTGTAATCAAAACACACACACACAAATTTCTGTGTTTTGTCTTTTTTTTTGTTCCAAAAAAATAATAATAATATTTTTATATTATTACTGTTCCTTCTCGATCAGAATACAAAAATGGGTATAAGAATAGGAAAAAATCTGAAAATTTTAATTATTTTCAGACCAAATTTTCTCTGAATTTTCCTCAAAATTTGAAATTTTGATCTACTCAAAAATTTTATTCAAAAATTTTGATCTTTTTTGGAAAACTCAGTTTTCAAAATTTTTTAAAGATTTGTCATCATTTTTGGCTTCTCTATTTTTCCATATTTTCAGTCAGAAAATGCCTTTTTTTGACATTTTTGGACTAAAAAAAACACATTTTGACTCAAAAATCGGTCAAAATTGTTTAATTTTGAGAAAAAAATAAAGCAAGTTGAGGCTTTGAAAAATTACCTCATTTTCGAAAATTTCAATTTTTAAGTTTTTGAATTTTTCTACCGTAATCCCGAATTTTTTCGCTGTATGATTTAAATTTTCGAAATTCGCACCTTTAGACGGTTAAAATGAGCCTAAAATTGACCCCATTCGCTCAAAATTGGGCGATCTACAGTGATTTCGTGGTGGGACCCAAAAAATTGAAAATTTTCAAATCCTGGCTTGTTTATACTCATTTTGAAGCTCTTGAAATTTCAAATCCAAAAATCAAGCTTTCAAAATTTTCGGCTCGAAACTGACAGAGTTACGGTACTTTTTAACTTTTCGTGGTGGGACCCAAAAAACCCAAAATTTTCAAAACAAGCCTTGTTTCTTATCATTTCGAAGCTCTTTTTCTCTTCTCCTCAAATTTCATTGTAGTTATCCTCAATTTCTCACTTTTTTCCAGACAAAATCAAATTTCAGTCATTTTTTCCAGACAAAATTTGTTCCCTCCCCCTCCCCGTGAATGAAAACTGAACGGACCAGTGGATACAGTGGCATTCCGACCACTTCAAAATGCTTAGTTTGTGAGCATCCCGATGGAGGCTCCGCCCACTTTGGAAGTACTTCGTGTCTCGCGTGTGCGGCATTCTTTCGACGCACCGTCTCGCTGAATATTCACTTTATGTGCAAAAAGGACAAAATGTGCATTATTTTTCATGGTGAGTGAAAATTTTTTGTATTCATCAGATGCTGCTTGGAATTTCCTACAAAATGAGCTAAAAATCATCAAAATCGGACGAAAATGAGCAAAGTTAGGGGCATTTTTAAAGTTTTCGTGGTGGGACCCAAATTTTCGAAAAATTCCGAGTATGGCCATGACTATACTCATTTTGAAGCACTTAAAATTTCATAACCAATGATGTAATTTTCACTAAATTCGGAGCAAAACTCACTGAGATACGGTAGTTTTAACATTTTCGTGGCGAGACCCAAAAAACAGGAAATTTCCAAATATGGTTATGATTATACTCATTTAGAAGCTTAAAACACGACAATTTCAACAGTGTAATTTTCATCAAATTTGGACAGAAACTAGCCGAGATACGGTAGTTTGAACATTTTAGTGGCGGAACCCAAAAATACGAAATTTTCCAACCATAAAAAATTTACAATTTTGAAAAAAATTAGGTCATGACCTGAAAAAACTGGGTCATGACCTAGAAAACAATTAGGTCGTGACCTAGAAAAATTTGGGTCATGACCTGAAAAAAAATTAGGTCGTGACCTAGAAAATTTTCGTGGCGTGACCAAAAATTTCAAAATGGCCCAAACCTAGTCTTGTTTAAACTCATTTTGAAGCTCTCAACGCGGCAAATTCAAATTGTTATGTTTCAACTCAAAATTTGCAGAACTTCGAATGATATGTCGAGCGTGTCGATTCGACAAGTGCGTCAAAGCGGGTATGCGACGAGAATGTGTCCAGAAAAGGAGGTCAAATAAGAAGGTGCCAAAGAAGCATATGCTGCGAGAAGCGGAAATAAAAATGGAAATTGTGGACGATTTCAAATATGAGTGTCCTGGCGACCAGACTGATGATAACTCGCCGCTATCAGTGGAGAAGAAGTCACCGCCCGAGTTTGTGCCCCTGGATAGTCCTGGAATGACTGAGTTTGTGAGTATTTTTTTATATTTTTGAAATGTTCAGATCTTAAACTTTGAAACCAGCTAAAAATTGTAAAAATTAGTTAATTTTGAGCAAAGTTACATGCTTTTAAAAAAATGAATGCCACAAAATTTGAGAGTCACTTTAAAAAAAACTATATCTCAAAAACCAAAAACGCTATCTAAAACTTGTTAACTATAAATATGTAGGAAATTGAATTTTACACATTTTTGTAGTTAACAACTTTTTTGGAAAAACTGTCCCTAAGGAGATATGTCACGTGGAAGAGCGCGCACCGCTAGGCGCCCCGCACTGCGAGCCCTCTTCCATGCTTCATACCTCCGGAAGGACAGATTTTTCAAAAAAGTTGTTAACTACAAAAATGTGTAAAATTCAATTTCCTACAATTTATAAGTTTGCAATAATTTTGTATCTTTTATAGTTCTTGAAATAAACCCGATTTTTTGCAGAAGTACGACATCCCCTCCACAAGCACATCAATACCACAGCCCGAGAGAAGTGAGTTTTTTTCCTATTTTTTGAAAATTATTATTCACTGAAAATATAAAAAATTTCCAACATTCTAAGCCTAAAATCAAATTTCTAGGTAAAAAATAAAGGAAGTTATGAGGTTTTGAAAAATTACCTTTTTTTCGAAAATTTCAATTTTTAAGCTTTTGAATCTTTTACCGTAACCCGGATTTTTCCGCTGTGTGACCTGGATTTTTGAAATTTGCATTTTTTGGGGGTTAAAATGAGCCTAAATGTGACCCGATTCGCTCGAAATTGGTGGAGCTACAGTATTTTCGTGGTGGGACCCAAAAATCTGAAATTTTCAAGTTTAGCCTTGTTTATACTTGTTTTGAAGCTCTTAACATTTCCAGCACAACAATGTTTTTTTCAGAACATTTAGGTCAAAACTGACAGAATTACAGTACTTTTTAACTATTTCGTGGTGAGACCCAAAAAATCGAAAATTTTCAAATCGTGGCTTGCGTATACTCATTTTGAAGCTCTTAAAATTTCAAATCCAGAAATCTAACTTTTAAAAATTTTGGCTCAAAACTGACAGAGTTACGGTACTTTTAAACTATTTCGTGGTGGGACCCAAAAATCTGAAAAACCTAGGCTTGTTTATACTCATTTTGAAGCTCTTGAAATTTCAAATCCAAAAATCTAACTTTTATAAATTTCTGCTCAAATTAACAGAGTTACTTTACTTTTTAACTATTTCGTGGTGAGACCCGAAAATGGAAAATTTAGAACCGAGGCTTGTTTATACTCATTTTGAAGCTCTCAGCCTCCCAAATCTGAAATTTCAACTTTTTCAAAGTTTCAGCGCCCTCCCGACAATCCAACGAGCCCGAAACGTCGAAAATTCTGAATATGAACGGCGAGGAAGTGCTTCGATATTATGTAGACCAGCTGAAAAGTTCAATGGACAGGAGACGGATGATTTTCACTGATGATGCACTATTAGCAGTCGTAGAAGAACGGGGAGATATGGTGAGTTGTGTAAAAGAACTTTAAAAAGAAGAAAAAAGGGTTTGCCGCCCTCGGGAGTCGAACCCCGGACCTGGTGGGCGGTGGGCAAAAGCGTTAGCCATGCAGCCACGAACTTCACGGAGAAGAGGGAGCGGAGGCCGTATAAGAAAGAGGGCTGGGCAAGGAGACACAGAGAAGAGGGAAGGGGGAATTTGAAATGTTCAAAGTTTCAAAAATTGAAAGTTTTCAAAAAATTTTCAAAAATTTTGCAAAAAAATCAGAAAAACACTGAAAACAAGTTAAGAGAAGTGGTTTTCGTTCATTTTCAGAGCCCAAAAAAGAGATTTTTCAGCCATTCGACGCCACAGAACCACCACCACATTCACTGAAGCGACAATACGAATCTCAACGTTTCGATAATCTTTTGGCCTTTGATTTTTGCAAATCCTGCCCCGGATTTGACTTAATGGATCGAGAAGAGCGCGCGATTTTCTATAGAGCTTGCTCGCTGGCCTACTGCCTTTTGGATATCGCATGGATTACGGTACAGGCGTATCCCGAGGAGCGGCATGAGCCATTTATGATGTATACCGATGGAAGTGTTTGTAGCATTAATGATATGTCGTATGGATGGGAGGATGAGGAGGAAATTGCAGCGCATGAGAAGAAAAAGTAAGTTTTTAGGGTGTGTGGAGCTGGAAATTGAGATTTAGGCCACCTTCAGACGTTGAAATCGCTTTAAAATCACTTTAAATGGCCTAAAATGTTATAAAAAGCCCTAAAAACAAAAGCAAAACTTAAAAACGCAGGGTGGAATTGAACCCTGGTGTTGAGATTGAAGACCAAAAGCGTAACTACTGAGCTACGCGCGCACATGAGGTAGATGCCGCAGAGGGCGTATATTTAGTGGCTCGCGGCGAGGAGACGCAGAGAAGAATGAGGGGGATTGTGAAATTTTGAAAAATGGGAATTTTCCAGAAAAATGAAAAAAATCAGAAATTAACCAAAAAAAAGTTCCAGACTGTTCCTTGGCTTCATTCAACGCTTCCACGACGCCATTTGCACGCCGATGAGGAAGCTAAAAATGACGCCAGTCGAGTTTGCGGCCCTGAAAGCGCTGTGTATATGGAAATTGGGTAATTTTTTTGAATTTTCAGCTTTTCTAAATGCGCTCTACGGCTAATTTTTTTTCAGGTTACTGCGAGTTTACAAACAGTATGCGAACCATTGGAAAGGAGCACCAGAATGCGCTGTTCAGTGGGCTCCGAGTGTATTATGAGGATTTATACGAGTCACAAGAGGAAATTGGAGCCAGATTTGGGAATTTAATTTTGCTCCTGGGCACGGTTTTTGTGAGTTTTTTTGAATTTTTGGAAATTTTGAAAATTTGAAAAAAAAATTTCGAAAAAAATTTTTTCCGAATTTTTCGAATTTCCCGCCGCTGAAAATGCGCTCCAAGCACTCCTGACCTCAAAACCCCCGAAAAACCAATCAATTATCGATTTTTCCAGGAAATGAACTGCTTGATAATGGAGACGTATAAATCGGCGGAAGTTTTCCGACTTTTCAAACTCGATGAGCTGTCGAAATCGCTGCTGACCCTTTAAATAATTTTTAATACTAACTGAATTTTAATTTACAGTATTTTTTCTGAAAAAATCAATATATATTTTTTTGTTTGTTTTCCTTCTATATCATCATTATTATGTCGGGTTGATCTCTCACTTCTTTTTCTAGTAACAATTTTTTATGTTTAAAAACCTCGTTTAGATGAAAAATGAAACTTTTTTTCTGAAAAAATGTGTTAAAAATTGAGGTAAAATAAAAAAAAAACTTGGCGCCAAGAGGAATCGAACCCTGGACTCTCAGATTGGAAGGCAGGGGTGTTGCCACTGAGCCAAAACAGACACAGAACTACTGTGCTTCAAGTGACAATTATAAACAAGCGGGTTTTCGCCCGCCGTCGGCAGTTAAAAATCAATATTTATTATGAAAAATTTGAATTACAAAATTTTTTAAAATTTGTTTTTTTTCCATTTTTCCGGTTTACGGCGCTGAAAACAGTCTGGAAATCCTCGATCCACTCGACGCTGAAAATTAATTCCCTTGGGTTACGGTTTTTCGTAAACTGTGCAAACACCGCGACGACAAATTGCACAAATCAGCAAGAACATTTTTCTAGGCTATTCTTGCCATTTTTCAGTCAATTTTAGGCTATTTTTCGGGCCTTTCGTGATTTTTAGGTCAATTTTTAGCATATTTTTTAAAAAAGGTCTAGAACACGTTTAGAAGTGGTTTTCAAGGCGGAAAATTGGATTTTTAGAATTGAAAAATTTGAAAAAAAATTTTTTGGGATTTTCCCGCGTATTTCCCGGTTTTTTGCTATTTTTCCGGTGGGAAATCATCGAAACAACGTTCAGAAAATTTGTTTTTCGCTTTTTACCTTTTTTGAATTTTTCCTTGATTTTTGCTGTAAAATTGCTGGAACTCCCTTCAATAAACGGTCCATCTGGCACTCTTTGCTCCTCCGATCGTCGTCGATTTTCGGTTTTTTCAGGATTTTTTGAATTTCTGGCCGAAAAATTCGAATTTTTCGAAATTTGGACTTTTCGCCTCCCCTGGGCGCCGCCTGGCACCGAGTCATACTGTTTTTGCTCTAAAAATTGAAATTTTCAGCTGATTTCAGCAGAATGTGCTTGTTTTTCAGACAAAAATCATGCTGAAATCGGCAAAAAAAAATTTTCGCTAAAATTTTTTTTCAGAACACTCACTTGCTTTTTGCTCACTGATAAGTGTGCTCACCTCGCGATGCTCGAGCAGTAGAGCGAGCTGTTGGTCCTCGTAGGCTCTGGAATTTCCAGGATTTTTTGAAAAAATAAATTTTGCGAAAATTTTAAATTTTGGTCAAAAATCGCCGATTTTTAGGTCGATTTTTGACTATTTTCAGCCTGAAAAAGTCGTTTTTCGGCTGTTTTTCGTCATTTTGGGCTTCGAAAAGTGAATTTTAAACTGTTTTCAGGCTCAAAATTGGATTTTTCGGAATTTTTTGAAAAAAAATTTTAAGTTTTGGTCAAAAATCGGCGATTTTCAGGTCTATTTTCGACTATTTTCACCATGAAAAGGACCTTTTTGGCTATTTTTCGCCAATTTTCGGGTAAAAAAAATCAATTTTGAGCAGTTTTTAGGCTGAAAATTGGATTTTTCGGAATTTTTTAGACGAAAATTTCAAATTTCCGTCATTTTTAGCTGAAAAATTGAGGGTTTTGAGCCATTTTCAGCCGTTATTTGGCTCAAAAAACCAGAAAAAATTCCGAAAATTCGATTTTTTCGGTTTTTTCGTCGCAAAAATTGAAAGTTTCGTGCGATTTTCATGTTTTTTGGCTCAAAAATGACGATTTTAAGCCGATTTTCAGCGTTTTTTGAGCTCATTTTTACCCTCAAAAAGTGATTTTTAGGCATTTTCCAACCTGAAAATGAAGATTTTCAGTTTTTTTAGCCCTAGAATCCCATTTTCACCTCGCCGTGTCCACATCTGTGACCCTATCCAACAGCTTCTGATTATCCCTCAGCTTTTCGTTGATCTCATGTCGTCGTCGTCGTAGTTGGCTCAAAATATCGTTGCCACGTGGCATATACGGTGTAGAAGACGTTGCTGTAGATGCTGGAGAAGTCTGGAAAACTCTAGAATCTTTTTGAGCGAAAAAATTGGGTTTTAGGGATGTTTTTAGAGTTAAAATCGCTAATTTTGACTCAAAAATCGTTGATTTGGCTTGGAAAATCGGCCATCCGGACAGCTGGACACACAGAGAGAAGCTCTGATTTTTTGTCCTTTTTTGCGGGATTTTGGCTCATTTTCCGTCATTTTTAGCCCCAGAAATTCTAAAAAAGGACATCCGGACATCCAGACTCACCGAACAGTTCGTTTCGGGTTGATTTTCAGTGCTATTTAGTCGTTTTCAACCCATTTCTGACTCATTTTAGCTCATTTTCATCCCATTTTCAGCCTTTTTTAGCTCGTTTTGATGTCTTTAGCATATTTTTGACTCCTTTAAGCTCGTTTCCAGCATTTTTCAGTCAATTTTCAGTTTTTTAAAGATCATTTTAGACCTATTTTGGCCCAAATTTAATCTATTTTCAATCTTTTTTTTAACCTTTTTTAGCTTAATTTTGACCTATTTTCGATCTTTTAAGCTCTATTTTAGCTCGTTTTTTGCTCATTTTTGACCCATTTTAGCTCATTTTTGACAATTTTGACCTATTTTGGCGTTATTTTAGCCCATTTTTGCTCATTTTTGATCTATTTTGGGCCAAATTTGATCTATTTTCGAATCTTTTTAGCTCTATTTCAGCCCGTTTTTGCTCATTTTCGACCTATTTTTAATAAATTTTCAGTCCTTTTTGACCCATTTTATCTCATTTTAGACCTATTTTCGGCAAAATTTCAGCCCTCTTTTCAGCGTTTTTTTTTGCCTTCTGCAACTCAATCCTGATCTATTTTTAGTCAATTTTCAGCATTTATTTGGTATATTCTGGCATATTTTTCAGTCGATTTTAGCCTCGGTTCTGCTAGTTTTTGGTCAATTTTCAGCTTTTTGTCGCTCATTTCGAAGCTATTTTGACCCATTTTTGCTCTATGTTTATCTATTTCGGTTCATTTTCGCTTATTTTTGCCTATTTTCAGACCTCCTCTGCCATTAAAAAAAAAGCTCAAAAAAAGTAAAAAATGTGTCTCTCTCCCTCCCCTCTTGAGTAAATATTTGTGTGTTTTTCGTTCAGAAATTTCAATTTGTTTTTCGAAAATAATAACGAATTCCCCCCCCCCCCCTTTAGAGCCCAAAAAATGAGGGTTTTAGAGACATTTTCAGCTTTTTTTAGCCTCAAAAAGCGTGATTTTAGCTGTTTTTCAGTTCGGAAATGAGAATTTTCAAAAAATTAGAACCCTCACACCATCGTTGCCATTATCGTAGAGTAGCTCGTTGATCGTCGCCGACACGTCTCCGTCGTATTTCCGAAGGACGTACTCGATTTGCGCGGCGCAAACGTTTGGGAACATTTGCTGGAAGTCGCGCATCGCCTGAAAATTTGGATTTTTGGGTCCAGAATGATGGTTTTTAGGGTAAAAATGGTCAAAAATGTGGATTTTTTTATCTAAAATGGTGGTTTCTAGAGTCAAAATGGTCAATTTTGAGCTTTTGGAGCCAAATTTGGCCGGAAAATTGTTGTTTGGGAGGATTTCTGGGTCTTGAACGATGATTTTTATGCTTAAAATGACCAAATTGAACCTTATTAGAGCCAAAAATTGACCTAAAAACTGTATTTTCCAAACTACAATAATCTTCTGAACTACAGTAATCTCACCCTATCAAAATCCAATAGTTCCTCCCCTTCGCCATTTGCCGTTGTTCCATACGATTCCATTTGTCTGGAAAATTGGGGAATTTCTGGGATGAAAATGAGCAAAGTTTTAGAGATTTTCAGCAAATAGAAAAAAGCCTAAAATTGCGAATTTCTAGTTTGAAACTAAGTGAAAAATTCTAGAGAAAATGGGATTAGGGACCTCGAAAATCTCCAAAAATGGCTAAGTTCGGGCTGAAAAAAAAACCGATTTGCGGGTTTGAGAATAGGGAAAATTCTAGGCCTAAAATTTCCACATTTCTAGAGAAAATAGAGCATGAGTACCTCAAAAATGTCTAAAAATGGGCTAGTTTTGGGCTGAAAAATCCCAATTTTCAAGTTTAAAGGTG